GTATTTGGCTGATGGAGGCTCCCTTCCCCCGCGGTCTATCTTCCCTAATATTGCCTCAGATCCACTTCTCCTCATGTCCTACCTTCCAAAAAGTGGTTGCTTTTCTATTTAGAGAGTTGCTGTTATTCTTTTCTTCAATCTCCTATTGAGTTTGTAGGTGTTCTGAATGGTTTGATAACTATCTAGCTGAATTCCTGGGACCAGACGAAAGTTAGGTCTCCTACTCCTCTGCCATATTGCTCCTCCTCAACTCTCAATTGTCTTTATAAAAAACAAAAGAGCTGGGGTGCCTGGGTGGCTCAGTCTGTTGAGCGACCAACTCTTGATTTTGGCTCAGGTCATGATTTTGGGATCCTGGGATCAAGCCCCATGTTGCACCTCCATGCTCAGTGGGGAGTCCGCTTGAGGATTCTTTCTCTCCCTCTCTCTCTGCCCTGCCCCCTGCTCTCTCTCAATCTCTCTTTCTCTAAGATAAATATCTTAAAAAAAAGAGCTAAGTAAATAATTGAGATGCTAGCAGCCATTAAAATTTTTATTTTTTTTTTTAAATTTAATGGCATGGAGAAAACCCAGTAATATACCAATTTTAAAATTGTGGAGAAATCTGGGGCACTTGGGTGGCTCAGTTGGTAAAGTGTCTGGCTTTGGCTTAGGTCATAATCTTGGGATCCTGGGATTGAGCCCCACATCGGGCTCCCTACTCAGCGGGGAGTCTGCTTCTCCCTCTGCCTCTCTCCCTGCTCCTGCTCTCTCGGTCTCTTGCTCTCTCTTTATCAAATAAATAGATAAAATCAATTTTGGAGAAATCTATCTGAAAAGAAACTCTCTGGAAGGAAATATAATAAAATACTAAAAGAGGTGGCTCATTGGTGTTCTGCTTCTTTATAGCTGTAGTTACTTGTCATATTTATTTAGCAATGCATATATTTGTTACTTACATTTTCAGAAATACATTTAAAGTAATTCCTTTCAAATATATTTCTTGTGCTAACATTAATATGTTAGCACTTCATGAGTTAAGCAAAACAGGGAATAATTTTCCTTTTCATAGTTGAGAAGAATGGGTAATTTCCCAATTGAAGGAGCTTGAAATAAAACCCAGATCCTCCAAAGCCAGCCTCAATGCTTCTTCAATGATATCATACTAGAAGGTTACAGAAAATAATATGTGAACATCTTATGAGTTTTTCACAATAAAGGAACAATAATTATAATCTGAGCTGTTATTAATAATGTTTAATTTATTTGATCTTCTTTATAAATTCCTAATTCCAATTGAGAGAAAAATAAATGTATAGTATCAGACAAATGTTAATAAAAAGGGATATCTAAGTAAGTAAAAGATGTAAGGAATAAAATTCATCATTACATTTACGTTAGATTTATTACGAGAGTGAATATTAGAAGAAAATCTAAAACTCTTTTGTTTTACTTTAGGAAGATACTGAACATGGTATTCCAAATAAGAATGAAGAAAGTCATGTCAGGAATATTAATAATGACTAAATATAAAAGAGTCTATATGGTAAGACAGAAAGAGTAAAGAAAGTTATACAGACTTGATAAATAACTGATAGCTTTTTTAATAATCTATTTTAATCAATGAGAAATTAAAGTAGAAACTAATATCTTTATAATTATTTATTGAGGATTACTACAGGGCATAATTAAGAGACTAAAACAATCAAGATTAAAGCCAGATTCTTTACCAATCTGGCAGTTCATGTAGTCTAACTCCTGTGCATCAACACTCTGGCCACTTACGCTCTCCTCATTCCCTTGTCCAGCACACATATGGCCAGTGCCAGTGAGCCACTTCAGAGCAGAGATAGCCAGATTCATTTTTGTATGTGCAGAACCTAGCATAGTGCTCAACAGTGGGTAGGCATGCACATTTGCATATGTCATGCAATTCATTTCAATAGCCAAACCATATCACCTCAAAAATGATACATATTAGAAAAATGCATAATACAACCCCAACCTAATGAAATGATTTGGGGGATTATCTACACTACCAGATAATTTATGTTACTGGTTGCCTAATCCATTAGGTAATGGAAATGCGTATTCATGTAGGGCTAATATGTTTGATGAGTTTCAAACTCAGTCATTTCCCAGGCAGTAGCCTCTAAGTCAAGGTCACAAATTGAAAAGATTATAGCAAGGCAAATCAGGTCAACATGTGAAGTTGATTAGTTGCAATAAACATATTTCCCTCACCATTGACTGGGAAACAGTTACCGAGAAACATTTTTTTAAGCAGGAATGATGATAAATAGACACTGATCCTCAGCCTCAGGAACACACAAAAAAAAGGGGTTGGGGGACTGAGCTAAACTTTCAGGCCATTTCTAAATGGTAGCTTCTACTCAACCCCACCTGATGGTGCCAAGTAGGAATACAAGACCATTGTAGCAAGATCTGACTTTTCAAGGACAGCTAAAAATTCATACATTTACTTAGAACATCTCATTTTTAAAACGTTGGTAATTTTTTAAAATGCAAAACACCATGTATTTTGCATTTTATGTACCAAAAAAACCACATCTGCACAGCATGTCTGACACTTAAGCTCCTGGTTTATGACCTCTGGTTTAACAATTTGATTACTCTATTGTTGCACATATAATTGAGATATGACTGAAAAGTCATATAATATGGCTGCTAAAATGTCAAGGAGACTTTATTGATTAAAGAAAACTAAATGTTCAAGGTTATGTGTGCTATTATTCCATACTCATAACTTCACAAATACCAAGTATTTTACAAACTTCACTTAGTACCAAAATAAAAATATCAAAGCCCAGAAGTTGACAGTAGAATAATATGTATAACCATTATAAACTTTACTTAAAATGTGATATATCTAAGGTTAAGTCACAAGTTCAATTTGGTTCTCTATGTATGCTGATGCATGATTGTATTTCTAAATGATGACTAGCCAATTATAGTCACTAGAAAGTTCTGTCATAACTGACATTTTAAATGAGGCATTCTGCTAAGAATGCTAAAATTTCAACCTCATTTTAATCACTTTAGCTATTCAGAATTCTGTTAATCAAGTAGGGGAAAAAAAATTTGTCTTCAACACCTAGAATGATTTATCTGTTTGTACAAATGTGAGAAAAATGATCACGTCTTCGAGTAATAGATTACAAGTACAAAGAAAGTTCACATTACAGCTATGCTGATGAAAATTACCTGCAGGCTGTTACAACACAGCCCGTGAATTAATTAACCTTTTGCCATAAAAATCTGGAAACTTCAGCAAAGACTGAAGTTTTTCTGTTTCTCTTGTTCCAGATTCCTCAGCATTTTATAAAGTGAAATACTGTGCCATTACTGAGGAAAATAGATAAAATATACTTAGATTTTATTGGGTATCCATGTTATTATAGTAAAAACGTAAGTTGTGGTTAAAACACAGCAAGTCGGATGTTTCCTTTTTTATTTTAATTAATGAAAGATGAGAACTAATAGCTGATTTCTATGTAGATCTTTACTTTTGTGAATGAGATCAGTAATTTCTCACTATGAATGTTGGCTAACTCTTAGTTATCTACCTTTTCACTCTGTGAGAAAATAAAGTTAAATAAAGCATGTCTTTTGCCAATGTGTTAAAAAAACAATGACGTTTTAAAAAAATATGTCTTTTGTCAATGTGTTTAAAAACAATCACACATTCTTTCAAACTTCATTCTCAAATGAATAAACACATTATACTTGAGTGTACTGGTCAAGTATACTGAAAATTTTCACATGGGTTCAGAAGTTGAAAAATCAGCTAACACTAAATGAAACCATGACCTGGGAAAACAGGATTTCTGATAAACAATGTTGTAATAAAAGTGCCTGTCTTTCCTCAAGTTGTGAAGAGCAAGGATCACTAAGACTTGGCGAATGTGAAGATTACAGCAAAATTTAAAGACCACTGTTATACTTAAATACTGACATGATAACTTCATATCTTTATTAAATTGTTTGGAGCCACATTTTATTTTTCTCTTTGATATAGTAATATCTCCTTAAGAGGGTTAACAATCCCAACATTAACTGCTCAATAACAGAGTGGTTCTCTTCCATGAGCCAGTTTTTAGAGTTAGCTTTAATTCATTCATTAGATAATTAGTCTTGCCAATGGATAAATCATTTCTTCTGTAGGTTAGGAGACATCCTTGTTTAGATAATGGGTCATACATATTATTTTAGGACGTTAGGGCATTTCTCTATTGTTCAAACTAAATCATGATTTGCCAAATTCATCTTTAAAGAGCAAAACTAGTGATCTCCCTCTCCAATATATTGTTAGGAAATCAATTTTTGGTTGCAGTTAAGAGGTACACAATAATATGTTAAAATAAGAAGGTGATCATTTTATGTTAATAAAGGGGGTAATGCTTATCTGGACAACTAAAGATACATATGATATTACTTATTTTGTATTAAGAGCAAATACATATTTTATGAATCAATACTTCAAATTAAGTAGCTATTTTAACTAATTTAGAACAATAAATCTTTCATAATTGTTAATATATTAAAATTTTCCAAATGGATCTTTCTTTTGTATCTATAAGGAAGATGGCTCTTTGAAGTTGGTAAATTTAGAATATGTGCCAAAACATTTCTGGTTATTTCAATTTTGAGAATATATTATAAAGCATACACATTTAGGTAAGATATATATTTATTGGAAGCATCAAGGCTGTCAGATAGAAAATTCACAATAAATATATTTTGAATATAAGAATATACAAGGTTTTAAAAGAAATTCAGCACTTCTGCCAATAGTAAAATTTGCCTGGGTTAATTTAAACAAAATTTAATATTGTTACTGATTCTTCGATTTTCATGTAAGCAGTGATAATGCAAATGTGTATATGAATAAAAAGTGTATATGCCTTTAAAAGACTTAAAAATGAGAGCATAAATTTATAATACCCCTTAATTATTACAGAAATACACATGCTATCCTTTGGAAGATATGAGCTACATACCTGACAGGTAATGTTCTATCGCCTTTCCTCCTATCCATTTCTCTTTGGGGAACAGGATACCAACGGAAATTCAATTTCCAGTTAAAACCCCCATAAGTCATGTCTGACCCAGCCATATATTCAAAGGTATCATCACTAATCACATCAATGATGGGGCATACAACTGTTTTCCTGCAGAAAAATCAAAACCAGTTTACATATAAATAATAATTTAAATACTACACCAGCTTCTTCAGACTCAGTATAGATGTTAAGTTGAAATTTAATCATTTTGTGACTTTAATATGACTTTATTTTCATTTATCCTTTTTCTCTGTGGAATCATTTCCTTTTACTACATCATGCTTACAGTCTCTACTTCTTTCTATCATTTATATTCTAATCAAATATACTAATTGGTCTTCAAGCTGATTTCCAAATGCATTCTAAGTACTAACTCAGCAGGATGAACATGGTCTATTTTTCATAAAACCTCTGCGCACAGCATGATTAGTAGCACTGCTTTGATATTATGCATCATTTTAGCTAGAGCCCACTGAAAAGCAACAGCATGCAGAAGTAGAGAGTGGATGATGGCAAATTAGACCTGGTATTTTGAATCTCAAAGAGGATAGGTTAGTTTTAAGAGTTCTGAAAAAATCTTCCTGGGGAAACGCCTACTAGAAAAACAAACAAGTAAAAATCAACAAACAGAAGAAACAATAAAAATCATGATCATCAGTGTAAGTACATGTTTCCTCTGAAAGATATTAGGGACATGACGATATCTAAGTGTGTTGTCCCAGATCTCAGAATTTACCATAACAACCTACATATTTTAAAATAGGGAAAGGTAAGTGACTTAAGTTTCTGGTGTTTTTATCTCATGATCTGTTTCTTCATAAAGAGTGGGTGTTCTTAATGGTGGCTTTTTTAAGGTAAGAAACTTCCACCAGGAGAAGACTGGATATTCTTTTAATCCATGATGTACTTTCTCCAGTCTCCCTCTGTTCCTGGCTTATATGTTTTATCATGAGACCAATCTGTCATCTCTACAGTAAATGTTCAGGTCTACTCAAGTTTGCATCGCTTGTAGCTAATTCCAAAGAGCAGAGCTTATTTTTCATATGTGGTAGGGGGTAAAAATACAAATATGCCTTTGAATCACCCATAAATGTGGAAAGCAAATAAATGTTGTTCATTATTTATTCCGGTTTTGTAACACCAGTATCATAAATGCTCGTTTTCAATTAGGTCCTCTATTCCACACAATTGGCCAAAGCCTCAAGTTCTCAGAAATCAATAGGATTCATCTAGCCTTGAAAAAGTTTCTTGGTAATTCTGGTCCCTACAAAATCAATATCTTTCTCTCTTCATTAAATTTAATGACTTAATTTGTAATGGGGAGGCAAAATTAGATCTAATAACCTTGAATAGGACTTTATTATCTAGTTATGGCAACTTTAGAATGTATAAGCAGGACAAGACCTCAGAATTCATTATATGCAAATACAATCTAAACATATTGTTAGATTAAAAAATAAATGATCTATGCATGATGATATTGAACATTATATTAAAAATTCAGTAAGTTGAATATGAAACACATGTTTGAAAAAGCAGCATAATGTATGAAAAGTTGCCAGGAAATGCATTTAAGATGTTCTAAGTTCATTTTACTTTGCCCGCCTTACCCTGCAGTGCAAATGTTATTAGCTGTGTACAACACTCAGCTGACTAAAAGGTTCCCACTGCTTTCTTCAACTGCTATGGTTCATTTTACTGACAACCTCCATCTATCTTCCTGGCAAGTACCAAATCCTGCCGTTTACATGACGTAGTTGGACTAGTTCACCCTAAGCGGCTCTTGTCTTAGATGCTTAATTAAAAACTTCAATTCTAAGAAGACCTTTCTAGGGTAGGTGAAATGACTATGCAAACAATGCAATGCTTTGTTATTATATCAGAGCATTCAACACAGTTGTCTTCATTAGGTACTTAGGAATTATAATCATTTATCATCAATGTTTATGAATATCTGCAAGAAAAGCTTGTACTTGATAGCATCATTATCAGAAAAAATTTCAGGTAGGTATGAGGGTTCTTAATTTCTATAAAGTACTATTCAATTTTTTCAGATTTCACAATTTGTGTTTACAAATTGGCAACATTGTTTAAATAATTAAAATTCTAATAGTTGTGCTCTGTTTTTTGTTTTTGTTTTTTTTTTAACCATGATTTCATTCCAGTGGAATGTGTGAGTGTATGTCTACATTTTTAAGATCCTCTAGGTGGTTTTGAACCAGACTTTGAATAAGGGCAGTGACCTAGTAGAGAGAAGACTGGTCTGGGAATGGGTAGAACTAAAGTGCTATTATTCCCAACACTTCAAATAACTGGGACAAGCTACTTAACGTCTTTGTTCCTTTCTATTACTAGTACAGACAAGAACATCTATATTACCTTCCTCACAGGGTGGTTGTGGGGACACAATGAGGTGCTTTGAAATGTATTTTATAAAACGTGACACTGTTTCAAATTGGACTCATTTGTATCACCTACAAAATGAATATTCAATACATTTTTTACTGTTTGAACTGTTTGACTATTTCTTAAATATTAATATTCAGCATGAATAAGCCTATATTATATGGGGGAGGGGTGCTTTTTTAAAAGCTAGAAAATAAACCTTCTAAAAATAACAATTTATAAAGAAGTTTTGACTGGTACCTGGAACTGTCTTAGCAGATTCAGTCAAAACCCAGGCAGACATAACACATGAATTCTTACCTGTCTTCTTTTATTCTCGCCAGCAAAGGCTCCAGCCATCCTAAGGTGCATTCACAGTGTGCATCGAGAAAAGTTATGACCTGCCCTTTTGAAGCAGCTGCTCCTCGAAGGCGGGCACGTATTAACCCAGAGCGCTCTTCCATCCTAATAATTTTTACTGGCACCTCTAAATTTTTCACATAATTCTCTAATGTCAACTTGAGAAAATCTGTAATGCGCAATAAGAATTTATAAAGTTTTGAAACTATTTTAAGACACAGCGGAGAGACTACTGCCCAGATGGAATTCAACACACAGAAATGGTAGCCAACTCCTATCAACATTTCTTTGCATTAGGTGAAATAATTATATAGAGATTTTATCAGTAAATTAATGTATATGTCATGATAACGCTATCATTTGACTGGATACAATAGGAAGTTAATATACCAGACTTGAATTTAGAAATTGGGCCACAATAGTAAATGGAGACTTCTTACTTATAAGTTGTTTTGCTTTTACCTGCACACGCACACACACACAAGACAGATGTCCACAAAGTCATATTCATGCTCAATCACATGATCATTTAAGTTGAGAAAAAAAACACTTTTGAAAATCATTTTAGCTGATTTCTTAGGTTAATATCGATCAAATGGGATCAAAAGAGATACCGAAAGAATCAGTTTCGTATTCCTGGAATTGGCACTGACTGGCTGTATTGATGAAAGTTGATGGGTGATTTCAGGGCTAGTAGAATTATAAGGAAAATACAGATCATTGCCCGGCTATCTTCCCAACCATAATAAAGCTTTCTGATTAAAAAATATATATGGGGGAAATATTTATACCTCTTTCGCTGGCATCATCTACCAAGATGACCTCGGAGAGCAGATAGCGTGGGGAACGGTTTATAACACTGTAAACAGTTCTAAGGAGAGTGCTCCACGCTTCATTGTGAAACACAATGACTACGCTTGTGTTTGGAAGTTCATCAGGGTAGACCTTTGTCTTGCATCTGCAAAAGAAAGAAGAGCAACATGCTTATAAATTCATTCTTCATTCTGATCACTCTAATAAAAAATACCCATGATAACATAGCTTTAGACTCAGCTGCCCCTTACTAAGGAAACATTTTATGATTATCGAAGATAATTTTCCTTTTTATAAATGTTGTGAGTAATTACTTGGCATTTTGAAAATTAAATATGCATAATTGCTAATATTTTATTTTAATTACTGTAGGGAACAAAGCAGCATGATTTCCACAAATCTAAGAAAGCTGAAATAACATTCTGAGACTATCAATAGAAGACCAGAATGCAACAGGGACATATGAATACATTTAGTGGATATAATTTTATTCCTTGTTTAGAAAAAAAAATTATCGTATAACTCAAAAAATCATAAGAACATGAAAAGACAGCATTTTGAAGCATGTAAAACTGAGATTATTTTTGTATCTAAAATCTAGTCATGTGTGTTTTCCATTCTGTTTGAGAATGCTATAAACCATGTCTACTTTGAAGGAAAGGTTTAGGGGCTGGGATTTACTTTGCAGATTCTCAGTATGATATAATCAAAACTGGAGATCAGGAAAGGGAATAGGCTACCAGCACTTCCCAAACTTTGATGTGCACAGGAATCACCTAGAGCTTTGTTAAAATGCAGATTCTGATTCAGTCAGTCTAGGGTACAGCCTGAAATTTTGCATTTTTAAAAACAGTTTCCAGGTGATACAGATGCTACCAATCACACAGAGCGCACCATAATTCTTTTTTTTTTAAGACTTTATTTATTTTAGAGAGAGAGAGAGAGAGCACAGCAGGGGGTAGGGGCAGAGGGAGAGGGAGAAGCCGACTCCCCGCTGAGCAGGGAGCCTGATGTGGGACTCAATCCCAGGAACCTGGGATCATGACCTGAGCCGAAGGCAGACGCTTAACCGACTGAGCCACCCAGGTGCCCCCAGAGCACATCATAATTCTCATCACTTTTAGAACTTGCTGTTTTGAGAAAAAACTTTTAATTTTGCTTATAAATCCAAAGAAGCCCAGATTTTACTTTTCGAGATATCAGTCTAAAAAGGTACATTTGGATAAATAATATGTGTAGTGCTCTAGGGGATCATCCCAAGTTTAACATGAAGATGGTTCTCACCCTCATCAACTTGTCAACATTCAAATGTTTAACTCATGTAATTATAAAATTTTAGAAAAAAAAAGTGTGACTGGGTATCTGGAACAGGAATAGAAGTTTATTCACCTTAGGTTATAGTTTCATGGAAAATATTCTAAAGAGCTAGAGAATTAAAATCATCCCATAAAATAAAATGAACTAGATACTTCCTGCCACTCATGAATGATCTCATACATGACACAAAATAAGCATTGTTAAAATTAGTCTTCTTCACAGGTGAGTGAAAAAAATTCAATAAAAATGTGGGACATAAGGGCATATAATTAAACAAATACTGATTGTATGCCTATTGAGATGTTAATCATCTTTTAAAACAGTCTAAAATGTCATCTAGTCAGCAAAGTCTTCTGTACTGTAGCCAGATAAGAAGGGACTATACCTGAAATAGGACATTTTTTTCTGCATATATTTATTTGAAAAGCATTCATTAATCATCCATCCTATAGAATATATTTGTATATACAGGAAAATCAAAATGTAGTGGGAAAAAGTACTTTGATTCATAGTCATCTTTTCCCGTTCTGGTGGCGAGATTCAAATGTTTTCCATATACCTCAGCAGCATGGGCATCCTGGCAGCTTATCAGTAAATGAACTCAGAAAGCCATCTTGGTAAATCAGAAAATGTTCGCACCATGATTTTCCTCAAACCTCCATTCTTCTGCCTCAACAAAATAGCATGCTGAGCAAAAAGTATGGTAAAAACCATCATGATCATCATCGATAAAGAAATAAAACTGGAAAATCAGGCTGAAAGCAGTCCAACAGTCAACAGTGACTGGTTTGAGCCAAGGATAGCAGTCTATAAAGGCTCCCCAGTACCACTGGAAAAAAGTGATTTCTTCTAAGTTAAATTTTTTGTACGTTATATATGCATGTACATTGTATGTTTCATATTCTAAATGCCAACAAAGAAAAAATGAATGAGATATTTAGATAAACCTTTTAAAATACCAAACTAAAAGCAGATACTCAAATCCAGCTTCTTAAACTATTTCTATCTTGCTTTGTTTTTGTGGTTAAAAAAAATCTACTCACAAATGTTAATTTTATATTCAATGTATGTGACAAAGTTATAATGAACTAATTTACTATTAATGCAACTATTATGTTTAGAGAAAATTTCCATTATGTCATTATTTAATGTAGCATACAAATAAAATGTGGCTAATCTTTTTATTAATTCTTTCTCTTCTTCCTATGTAAACAATTATTTAGCAAAGAAAACTTTGTGTGATAATAATTTCTAGAATAATTCTTAAGCTATGTAAATTAATTATTTTCAATGTCAGTTTGTCCTATTATCTCAAGTTCATAGAGGCTTATGAACAGGAGTTATTTCCATGGTTTCTAATGGGGTTGTGATACACTGTACTTTTACCATTTTCTGTATTTCATCACATCTGTTGTTTCACCTATAGTAAGATATACCGTCATTTTATGTATTGCTAGGAAAGAAAAAAAATGTCAAATAAACCATAGCATATGCTTTCTTATCACTAGAATCTATTTAATACCTAGATAGAGCTTACAGAACAAGCCTTTAAATTTACTTGGACATAGATGTCTATCAATATTGTCATGCTTGCTTATGAATCAGTCACATCAGCTTTTTGTTGCTTTAAAGTTTCTTTCATCTTTTCTAAGGGGCTTTCTCCAGCTTTAGGTTGCATTGCTTAACATATGAGAGAAAGCACGTATCTCAGTAACAAAATATAAAACAGCTTCATCTTCTTGTGGGTATCTTCCTTGGTACTATAAAGTTATGCTTTTCAAATTTTAAGGTGCAAATAAATTATATGGGCATCTTGATAAAATGCAGATTCTGATTCAGTAGATTTGGGGTGGGCCCAGGATACTGCATTTTTTTTTCAAAGGGGGCAGAAGGAGAGAGAGAATCTTAAGCAGGCTCGACATGGGGCTCGACCTCACAACCCTGAATCATGACCTGAGCTGAAATCAAGAGTCAGATGCTTAAACAACTGAGCCACCCAGGCAAGGTGCCCCAAGATTCTGCATTTCTAATGAGATCTCTGGTGATAACTGTCGCTTGGTTGACATGATAAGAAAAAAGGCTATATAAATCAGTCAGCTGTTGATTTAACAAGAAAATATAGAGTTGTGGTCATTGCTCCAACAATAAACATTTGCTTCGTCTTATGAAATTTAACACTTGTCACTGTTTCCTTGCCTTTCTTTTCACACAATAACTTTTGTTACAATACTGAATCAGACTGAAACTTTTCTGAAGGAATGTTGATTGACAATTAAACTCTGCATCTGTAATATAAATGTTGTAATTAATAACTTAGATGAAGCATGACTATGTGAACAGTCATGACCACATTCATACAAACTTAAGAAATCTTGCTTATATAACAACTGACAGCTGGTTGACAATGATTGTAACTAACCATTGACCCTCATCCTGATTTCAGACACAGAAAACTAAAAGGGGTGCATCTTACAACAGGTGAATAGAATAATTTTTTGTTTAGCCAAGAAAAAGTATGGATAGGGTTACGTAGTTTTAGTTGCCTTTTTTTTAAGACCTTTAGGTATCTAAGGTGTCAGAGTTTCAACTCACTGCTTTTTCAAGAAATAATTAAAAACAAAACAAAAACAGGGAACCTATATGATGGAGGGGAGAGGTAAGTACTTAAATGGATTGGGACCTTTGGCAAACAACTTCTCTGTGATACTGCAAGAATTACTTCACCACTGTCCACCTTTTAGCTTCTACATCTTTTACATAATAAGGTTAAAGTAGGTAATCTGAAATGTATAGTGGACACTGCTTGGGTTACACTGCAGAATAAAGCTCAGAATCTCCAAATGGTGGACTTGGAAACAGCTTTCAAAGTTAATTCAAATCTTCATTTTACAGAATGCAAGTCTCAAGTCACAGAACTGGTTCAGTATTCTGCATAATAAGGTAATAAATAATAATGATATATTTTATTCTTTAATAATACTAATAACAGTAATGATTTATGCCCCATATTATATGCTACATCAAATGTTTTAATGATACTACTGGTGTCTGGAAAATTAGAAAAAAACATTTGAACTTAAAAAATATGCCTTAATCTTACACTCAAACATATATCTTTAAAACAAATAGAGAAATAGCTATTCCCCTAGAATCATGTGATTAAAACGAAGCACAGACAACAGCTTTCATTGAAATTATGTACATATAGACCAAATATTCTTTTAGCAATCTGTCCTGTGAAGCTATTAGTTTTCTTTTATGTAATAATCTAAATGGGATCGGCAAAAGTTGACATTCTCGTGGGAACACAATGTATATGTAATTAACTTTGAGAGTAAAGGTGGCAGACTGCAATAGCAATTTTCATCAATTTGAAAGGAATATTTGATGCCCACTACTCAAATTAAGTTCCTGAAATTTGGTATTCTAGTGAAATCATAAGATTTATTATAGCAGCATTTCATATTTACACTATATTATGACATGCTAAATCTGTAATACTTGAAAGAAGTGAAAGTTTATTTCTTTTTAATTCTGTAATAATAAATCTGTAGCTTTTAAACTTGGCTGCACATTGGAATAATCCCATGAGCTGGGAAAAAAATACTGATGTGTGGGTTTCAACCACAGAGATTCTGATTTAGGTGTCTAGGGTGTGGCCAGGCGCAATGGGATTTCAAAAAATCTCCCTTGGGGATTTGAATGTGCAGCCAAAGTTGAAAAAGTTTGACTAAAGTTATTTACCAAAAATACTGATTTTAAATATGTGTGTGTGTGTATACACATGTCAATGTAGATATGTATATTTGTATATGTATATAAAACCTC